ATAGTAGTAGTATATATATATATATATATATATATATATATAACACACACACACACACACACACACACACACACACTTTATTTTACATCACTGGGTCTTACAATCCCTACTTTTTTTTCATTTAGATATGCTCAACAGTGCCATTCCATGTGAATGTTTTATTCTTTGAAGTATAATACTTACTATGGCTATGGATTATCACTGATGAACATTCAAGTGCTAGCTAGATGATAATTAATTAAAATTTAAAATGTTCATAGACGTTGGTAACCAAAGTATGGCTTCATTCCGCTCATTTAGAAATGAGTTGAATACCTGCAATATGGCCAACATCATGAACATTAGAGTATAGGGAGTAGCCACAGGCCCCTCCTCACCAGGAACTTAGGATCTAGCTGTGGAGATGTGAAAGAACTTTCTTTGAATTTATATCTGTAAGATTCGTCCATGATGCGTGAAATAATCTTGTACATGTTTTTTATGTGGTCAAATGCATTTATCTCTGCCAGATACATACTTAGCTGAAGTGAAATTGCTAGGTCATAGGGTGGGTGCATATTTATACTTTCCAAAAGATTGTGTCATTTACGTTCTCACCAGCAGTGTAGGAGAGTTCCAGGTGCTCTACTCTCTTGCTAATTTATTATCAGTCCTTTTAATTTTAGCCATTCTGATGGGTATGCAGTGCTGTCTCATCGTGGGTTTAATTTACATTTTCCTGTTGAATTTTGTTGCTGAACAGCTCTTCCTGCGCTCATTGGCCACTTGGAAATTCTCATTTGTGAAGTGCCTGTTCAAGTTTGTATCTGTTATTTTATTCTGTATTGTTTTTCCATGAAAGATATTTCAGGCAGAGGAGGTATTATGAGATCATGGGGCTGCTTGGAGTGTAAGGTGCAAGGTGGGGAGGAGGTGTGGAGAACTAGTGTTATCATCGCTGTTTTCCATCGTGGCAGCACTGTTTTACATTTCCACCAGCAATGTACAAGGGCTTCAGTTTCCTCACATCCTGGCCAGTAATACATGTCTTTTTCTAATTTTGCTTGCTTGCTTCCTTCCTTCTTTCCTTTTTCTTCTTTTTTTGATAATAGCCATCTTAATGGGAGTAAAGTATCTTATTGTAGGTTTTATTACATTTTCCTAATGACTAGTGATGTTGAGCATCTTTTTATGTGCTTCTTGGCACATTTTTCTGTCAAAATGTCTATACATTTTTGAATCTGATTGTTTCTTACTGAGTTTTAGGAGTTCTTATCCAATATATTGTGGATATTAATTCTTTATCAGGTGATTTGCAAATATATTTTTCCATTCTGTGGATTGCCTTCTACTCTGTTGATAATGTCCTTTGATGCACAAAAGTTTTAATTTTGATGAAGTCCAATTTATTATATCTATTTTTAATTTTGTTGCTTGTGCTTTTGGTGTCATATCCAAGAAATCATTGCCAAATTCAATGTGATGAAACCTTTTCTGTATGTTTTCATCTAAGAGTTTTTCGTGTTAGGTCTTACAGTTAGGTCTTTGATCCACTTTGAGTTTATTTTTGGATATGATGTTAAGTAAGAATCCAAATTCATTATTTCACATGTGAATATCCAGTTTTCCCAGCACCATTTGTTGAAAAGACTGCCCTTTCCCTATTGAATAGTCTTTGCATCCTTGTCAAAAATCACTTGGCCATCTATGCAAAGGTTTATTTCTGGACTTTTTCTTCTATTTGTCCATATGTCTGTCTTTATGCCAGTACCACATTGTTTTGATTACTGAAGCACTGTAGTAAGTTTTTGTTGTTGTTGTTGTTGTTTTGGGGGTGGGAGGAGGTAATTAGGTTTATTTTTTAATTTATTTTAATGGCAGTACTGGGGACTGAACCCAGGACCTCATGCCTGCTAGGCAAGCACTCTACCACTGAGCTATACCCTCCCCCCTGTAGTGGTTTTGAAATTATAAAGTGTGAGTCGTCCAACTTTGTTCTTCTTTTTCAAGACTATTTTGACTATTTGAGGTTCCTTGAGATTCCATTGAATTTTAGGATGGATTTTCTATTTCTGTAAAAAACATCATTAGAATTTTGATAGGAGTTGCATTGACTCTGTAGATCAATGTAGTATTTACATCTTCACAATATTAAGTGTTCCAGTTCATAAACATGGAGTGTCTTTCCATTCATATCTTTAATTTCTTTCAACATTTTATAGTTTTCATTGTACAGATCTTTCACCTCTTTGGTTAAGTTAATTCCTTGGTTTTTATTATTTTTGATGCTACAGTAAATGGAATTGTTTTATGATTTTCTTTTTAGATTTTCATTCTTAGTAGATCAAAATAAAACTGATTTTTGTGTGTTTATTTTGTATAGTATGATTTCACTGAGTTTACTACTTTTGACAGTTTTAGTGTTTGCGGAATCTTTTTTATGATTTCTATACATAAGATCATGTTATCTGTGAACAGAGATAATTTTACTTCTTTTCCAGTCTGGATTTTTTTTTTCTTGCTTATTTGCCTTGCTAGAACTTCTAATCCTATGCTGAATTTAAGTGGCAAAAGTGGGCATCCTTTTCTTGTTTAATCTTTTTTATTTTATAGATGTGGAAACGTAGGCCCAGAGAAGGGCATTTACTCACAGAAAGTTACATGACAGGTTCGTGGCGAAGCAGGAACTGGTGCCCAAATCTCAACTTCTGGTCCAGTGTTCTTTCATTTATATGGGGTTGCCAGAATTAACAATTGCTAGTCATGAAAAGGAGCTAACATGAATCTCTTATTCTAAGTTCACTTAGAATATTTTCTTATCAGTTATTCAAAATAGGTAATAGTGTTGAGGAGAAATTTTAGTATTATGAAATTTTCTACTATTTTGATTTGTAACTCTGAACTTTTTCATCTATATCTATGTAACCTAAATGTTTGCTTCAGTTTCAGAATGTCATTATGGTTTGTATTTCTTCAGTGCAGTTACAATTGGAACTGATATGCTGGAATTGGACTGCCATATCACGAAAGATGAGCAAGTTGTGGTGTCACACGACGAGAACCTAAAGAGATCAACTGGGGTCAATGTAAACATCTCTGATCTCAAGTACTGTGTAAGTGAAAACACATGACAGGCTAACAACCAGTAGACATTAGGGCCAGTAAGATTTTTTAAAACAGTGAATATCAGGTAGTACTTCAAGAAATAACAAAAAATAAATGCATAATGATTAAATAATGACTGTCAAAGGAAATTTTAAAAACTCTTCTGACTTCCAGTGATGATTTGTATTCATTACATACATTTGTGGTGACTTATTTTGATAAATATTTAAACAAAATTACCAAATTCCTCAGAGGTAAAACTCCTGAAGTTCGACTTCTTTGAAGTGTTCTATAATTTATTTGATTTAGAATGGATATGTGAATTAGTTTTAGTCTTCAAGTATAGGTAAGGACCCTTTAAAAATCTGATTTTAGTAGTTTACATGCTCATTATAGTAAATACTGATAAATGGAAGGAAAAATAATACCTGATTCTATAACCTAAAGAAAACTTATGTTAACAGGATACTATCTATAAGTATACTCTGAATTTTTTTTTTTACATAATTGTATTCTTACTGTATATTGTTTATATTGCGTTTTTAAGCACTTTAACATTACGGTATGGTGCATATTTTTTCCTTTTCTTTTTTAAATAGACTTGCTTTTTAGAGCAGCTACAGGTTCACATAAAAATTGATCAGAAAGTGTAGGGGTTTCCCACATACTTTCTGACCCTACATAGGTACAGGCTCCCCTCACTATCAACATCCTGCACCTGAGTGGTACATTTGTTACAGCTGATGCACTTACACTGATACATCCTCATCACCCAACGGTCATAGCTCACATCAGGATTTATTCTCAGTGTTGTACAGTCTATGGGTTTTGACATGACATACATGATAATGAGATGTATCCACTAATAGGTCCTACAGCATAGTTTCACTGCCCTAAAAATCCTCTGTGCTCTGCCTCTTCATCCTTCCTGCCCCCCCAACTCCTGACAGTCACTAGTCTTTGTACTTTCACCATAGTTTTACCTTTTCCAAAATGTCGTATAATTGGAACCATACAGTATTTAGCCTTTTCAGAGTCTATGCTGATTTTTCATAAACATTTCAAATGACTTCAGTTATTCCACTGAGTGGATATATAGTTATTTTTAACCATTTCTCTATTGTTGGGTATTTGAATTAGTTCTAAGTTTTCACAATTATACATAACACTGCATTGAACATCTATAGGCATGAAGATAAAGCTTTGTAAAGATAAAATTTTCTCTATATTTAAAATTATTTGCCTAAATTAACTGACAACAGGGAAATTATTGGACAAATGATTAGGAATATATATATATATATTTTTTTGATATCTCCTGCCTTGTAGTGGAGAGTTTGTAGATTGAATCATCCTTATTTCTTGGCACCTCCAACGTACCTAGTATGTCATAGATGCACAATAAATGACTAGAATCTCAGCTGATGAAAGATTAGGGACAGCTCACTGGGCACCACTGTGACGTGGGTTGGGATGTAAGTCGGTCCCATGGGGATGGTATAAAGTTGAGCCAGGTCTCTGGAGTGCTCCCATTTCCCCAGAGGGAGAGACACCAGCTAGGATTAGTGGTGCTTAAGTGTTGTGTGTATCTTCTGACTTGGCCCCACTTGTGAGTGTGCCTGGGGAGCAGAGCGGGCGTCCACACCATCCTGAACATCTGCAGTTAGGAATATTATACTTTCCTAATTTATATTGAAAGCTGCTATCACTAGCTTGCTTTTTTTCTTTTCTTTTCTTTTTGAGTAAAGGTAGATTTATTTAGAGAGATACTTACTGCATAGAGTGTGAGGCAAGAGAAAGGCAAGGAAAGAGGTATGGGAATTGGTTGCTCAGTTTAAAGTAAAAGTAGGTACACACTCCATAGACAGAGTGCGGGCCGTCTCCAAAGGGGAGAGAGCGAAAAAGGGCCTAGCTTCCTTGTTCAAAGTATTTAGAAGACTTCTAATATCTAATACTAGAAGAATTCCCATTTTGCCATACTCATATTGGTCATTATAATTATACCTAAGAGTTCCTAATCTGCTAGATTAAATTTTAATCAGCATTTGCTTATTAGTGAGTTTAAAGATTTTTCTTTATGATTGTTAGTCTTCTTTTTCATTTTTTTTCCTTTGGACTGTGTATTCTTGACATTTGTCTACTGAAATCTTTGTGTATTTATTATTGACAGATGGTTCATATTAAATAGCACAGATTTATTTTCTTGTAGGACATGAAAGTAAGTAATTATATGGCTAATTTGGAATTGGAGATGTTCTGCTAGAGTGCCCTATGTAAACGTTTATAGCATTTCATTCTTTTATTTTTCAAAGAAGCAAATCTTAGTGTAGGACACTAGAATACTTTTTTTTTTGAGAGCTAACTTTTTTCAACCATATCTTTTAAAGGAACTCCCACCTTACCTTGGCAAACTGGACGTCTCATTTCAAAAAGGTAATCATTAATGTCTGCAGCTTAAACATTTACATTAAAGTATATTCATTAATGTTGAAAATTAGATATACATACATATTCTCTTGTGATAATAAGTTCCAGCTTATTGCCCTCAAAGCTTGTTTTCTCAGGCCTACAAATCTGAAATTTTTCTTTCTTTCTCTCTTTTTTTCTTTCTTTCTTTCTTCTATTGAAATATAGTTGATTTACAGTATGTTGTGTTAGTGTCTGGTGTACAGCAAAGTGATTCAGTTATATATATCGAATCTGAAATCTTGATGGTCGTCTGACTCTGAGATGGTGAGGCCCAAAGAATTAACTGGCTTATTCTATGTAAATTAACATACAGTTAATTTAAGCATGAATATTAATCATAGGAAACCCAGATATTATTAGAGATACTTTGCACTTCTAAAGCTTCAAGTTCTAGAATATTACTACAACTTTTGGTAGATCATTCATCGTAAATAAAAAGAATAAGTGGAAAGAAATTCAAGGGACACCTTTCAGATCCTTACTGATTCTATAATTTTTAAATTCAGTGTCATTTAGCTCCTCCATATTTTTAATTACTAAAGAGAATTCTACTATTCAAATAAACTATCCATTTCTTAATCATCTTCATTTTTTTAATCACTTGCATAGAAGTTTTTTTTTTCTTTTGAGGAAACATTTCTCACAAAGAAACATGTCCATTGACCGAGTGTGTTAGTTATGTTAGAATGGAGCATGTTAGGATACGAAATACACCACCTCAAGATACAGGTGCTGAGCTCCCTCACCATCACAGCTCAGCTTCATGTATTGAATGATTCAGATGTAACTCAGTGTATATGCATAACTGGGACTTTGTGCTATACACCAGATATTGACACATTGTAACTGACTGTACTTCAATTTAAAAAAAAATGTAACTCAGTAAAACTGTAAGATACTCATGTTATGGTCTTTGGTATGACTTGTATAGTTGAAGCATTGGTTAAATGTCAAGAATCTATTCTATTGTACTAACTTTCAAAAAGAACTTTAACTGCTCTGTGAACTAAATTTAAAATTGGCCAGCATAATTTCTCCTTGATTGGGAAATTTTAGACAACCAAATAAAAATTAGCTATCTCTGTGGGATGTTTCTATCTGATGTTTGTTTGACTTTGCCTTCCAAGTAAGTATCATTAAGCTTTTGCTGATTTGAGGAAACACTGTTTTCATTCTTATAATTAGTAGGATTATATTTGCAAAGCTATTCAATATTGGTGCCAACTATGGACTGGACTTGTGAAGGTTGAGAAAATATCATAAGTGAAGTTTTTCCTGTTTTTCCCTTAGTAGAGCAAAGCCAGAGCCTCACAAAGATTGGAAGATACTTTGAGAAAAAAATACATTTTAATTTTTTTTCTGGTTTTATGCTTCCCTCATAAAGTCATGAATCTTTTGAATGTGAAGAAACGGTTGAGACCATCTAATCCTGTCTCCTCCTGTAATAGAAGGGAAACTGGGTCCTAAAGATGCAAATTAGCTTAAGGTCATACAACAAGTAAACAGAGCTGGGATTTGGAACTAGACCTTCTCCTTACCAGGCCAGTACTCAGCCGCTCCATACTGCTTCTCCATCTGAAAAATCTCTTCAAATCCCATAGCAGTAGCAGCGCCATGTACTCTCAAGTTTAGTAACTAACAATAAGTAACTTTTCATTGATTTGTATTCAACACAGAGCATGATTAACTTAAAGACTATGCCTCAAATATGAAGCTTGCTGCATTTGAAACAGACTAAATATAAATAACACTGTAAAAACTTGACTCAGATTATGCAGAAAGTTGTTCAGTTTTTTCTCTACCCTATTCCCCTGCTCGGAACTCTTGCTTTCTTTTATGTAAATACTGGAGAAAGAAAGAGGAAGACTATCAGCTGTCAGAGGAATACAAATTTCAGGCCTCTTTCTTTCTTTGTGGTTCAGAACTTTACTGGAGAAGAACTGTTTCCTTTTAAAAGGTGCTCTGATGTGCCACAGGCTGTGTTAAAAAGTAAATGTAAAGAAGGAACATAAAAATGTGTTAACTGAAGTGTTTGTTAGTAACTATCCTGCTTACTTGAAAGCAGCTTTTTTTTTTTCATGGAAAATACATAATTTAGATGATCTAGAGTTGACTACAATGATCAGTTTTCAAGTCCCAGCCTGCTCTAGAGCCATTTCACTTGTTCCATCATCCAACACATCCTATGGCATGCTCCATGCCTGGCATTCTTGTTTGCTATTATCATCCTCTTTCCCTTTTGGTAGAGTCTCCCAGCTGGTTATTCTCTGCCTGAAACAATACTGGAGACAAACTTCTTTCTTCAACTCTTTTTCTACATTCTATGCTCGCTGAGTCCTCTAATTGAAATATATTCACATCCCCTTAACACACATTTTTTTTCCTTAGCACTTTTATTTCCTTGATTCCCCTACTATTTGATGCAATCTTATTCTTATTTTGTGATGTGCCATTTTGCTGCTCCAAAGTTACTTTTGTCTCTTTGACCTTTTTCCAAATTGATCCTTGCCTACATCTTACTTGGGTGTGAATAGGTATTGCCCAGGGTTTTTGACTGCAAAATTAATTTTTCCACACTTAATAATCTAACAATTTTTATTTAATTAGAATACCATTGTCTGAATAGAGCTTTTTGTAATGATAGAAATATTCTACTTTGCACTGTCTGATACAACAGCCAATAGCCACATGTGACAATTGGGCTCTTGAAATGTGGCTAGTGCACCTGAGTAACTGAATTTATTATCTAGAATTTGTTTTTGTTTTATGGGGGGGGGTGGTGATTAGGTTTGTTTGTTTGTTTGTTTGTTTATGTGTAGAGGAGGTACTGGGAATTGAACCCAGGACCTTGTGCATGCTTTGCATGCACTCTACCACTTGAGCTATACCCTCCCCTGTAGAATTTTTTTTTTAATTGTAGTTGATTTACAACATTGTGTTAGTTTCTGGTATACAGCATAGTGATTCAGTCATATATATATATATATATATATATATTCTTTTTCATAATAGGTTATTACAAGATATTGAATGTTGTTTCCTGTGCAATACATTAGGACCTTGTTATTTATCTGAATTTTTTATTTTATTTCATTTTAATTTCAATAGCCCTTTGCAGCCAGTGGCTACCATATTGGACTGTGCAGAACTAGAACATCATGTTCAAACTTTTTAGGTTATAAGTAACAGAAACCAGTTTACGTTAGCTTAAGGGGGAAAAAAAGACATTTATTTTATCATTAACTCTCTAGGATGTGGTGGATCTAATATCAAACATTATTGGATCCATGTGTACAATAAAAGGACTCTGCTTTATTCCATACATAGTTCTGCTTCTCTGGGGTCTTATTCTCTTTTACTGTAGACAGAGTTTGTCCATGTGACAGGAACATGATCACTGACAACTATAAATTCACATCCTGCTTGTGCTGACACCCCAGGGAAAGGAAAAGTTCCAGAGAAAGATGATGATTGGCACAGTTTGGGTCATGTGTCCATCTTGAAATACTCACTGTGGACAGAGACAGACTATTTGATTGGCCAGACTGAGGTCATACCCCTATTCATAAGAGTAAGTGAGGAGTGGGTCCTGTTTTTGACAGCCCAATCAGAACAATGTGGAGTGAAGGAGATGCAGTTTTCCAAGGGAAAGAAGGATGCTGGGTAGGTAAAAATAATAGCTAACTTTTTATATATTAATATAATTAATTTTATAGTTCAATTCTGTAGTCTTTGATAAATCTAAACTCTTTCAGTTATAAGTACTAGAAATCCATCTCAAGATAGTTCAAGAAAAGTTTATTAAAAAGAATGTATTCTCATAACTAAAAAGCCTAGAGGTTATATGCCTTCAGACATAACTTACTCCAGTTGCTCAAGCAATAATTGCTCTCTCTCTTAGCTCCGTTTTTTTGGTTTTGCTTTCATCTATGTTAGCTTTGTTCCTAGGCACACTTTCTTCACATAAAGATGGACCTCTGATAACATCAAAAGTACGTGATCCATTCAGCTGAGGATTTGGGGAAACCTCTCCTGTTGCCCATATTGTTATGTTTAAAAGGTCATATGCTTTCTCTGTGGCCAGAGAGTCAAAGCCAATGATTGAGGGTTCCCTCAGAATGATCCAGAGCCCCATCTGAATTTCAAGGACTAGTAAAAAGGCAATAAGAATAGAATACAGAATATGCAAAACAGTAACAGATTTTTCCTTTTTTCTTTCTCCATTCACATGCTGCTTTTCACATGAGCCTTTATTATAAAAATTTTTTTGGCATGGATATAATTTACTTTTTTAATATGCTCCTTTGTTTTGATTTGCTGTACAATAAGGATGAAATAAAGGATCTTTTGCCATTTTGTTATTCACACATTAGTGGAAGTGAAGTTTCAGGTGGAAGGGGAAATTTTATAATAGTTATATGGTATATATAGTGTATCATATAAATGATTAGAGGCAGAAAGAACCAAGGGAAGAATAAAGAAAATAACCCTCAGGAAATAAAAAGAATATTTAGAATCCTCTTCTAATTTTTTCATGACTCAGTTTTCTTTGAATAACGGCACTGATTTAATTCTTCAGTACATTACTGAATTAACATATATTTCCCTTGCCTGAATGTATTTTTCTCAGTCTTTGAAAAATTCAATGATACTATCATAGCAAAACTTTAGAAACAATCTTAGTGCCCACCAGTAGGAGCTAGGGGAGGAACAAATTTTTTTTCTTCTACTCTTTTAGGATCTCAGCTGGACTCTATAACAAAGAGAGATTAACAGGAGAAAAACAGGAGTTTATTAATATGTTTGTCTCATGGGAGAAACTCAGGGATGAGTAACACAAAAGCATGGCTAGACCTTGAGTTTATGTAGCAACTTAACAAAAACCAAGAAATTTTCAGAGCAGTGACAAGACAAAAGAAAGAGACTTGGGGTGTCTAGGTTGGCAAATTGTGGGAAGGTAGATATATGGGGGAGTAATGGAAGATAAAGGCTAGTCTGTAGTTTGTTATGTAGAGTCCTTTGGTGCTGATAAAAGTCTAGGGTTGTTGGCAATTAATTTTTGTACAGTTTAAGTCTCATTTTTAGGCAACTGGGGGAAGGGCAAAGAGCTTTTCTTGTATGTGCTTCTTCTCAATTATCTTCACTTCAAAATAATCCTTACCAAAATAGCATATTTTAGAGTGGCAAACTGTGCTACCCTTCAAGGGGAAAGGTTAAATTAGAATAAATTGTTGTGTAGCTACTCAGTGGAATATTTTAAAGCCTTTTAAAATAATAATTGTAGAAAAGATCAGTAGATCATCTCAAAGTCAATATCATGGTTAGGATACTATACTACAGTTTTGCAAGAGTTTACTGTTGGGGAATCTGGGTAAAAGCTGCATGGATCCCTGTATTATTTCTTATAACTGCATGTGAATCTACAGTTATCCAAAACATTTAATGGAAAAAAAATTAATCATAGTTATAAATCTAATATATTAACATTCAATATTTATTTTTACTTATGTAAAAAGATCAGTTTAAAATCTGAAGGTGCACTATATTATAACTGTATTAAATTATGCATAGGGAAAAAAGAGTAGAGGAAATACACCAAATGGTCACAATGGTTATATCTAGGTTGTTGGATTTCAGATGATTTTTCTTTTCTTCTTTATACTTTTCATCATTTTGTAAATGTCTTATTATGACTGCATACTGTAACTCTTCTAATCATCAAAAAAGTAAGAGTTCTAGCTGTTAAAAATACATTTAAAAATCTTGCTTTCTCAGCATGCCAGTGTGAAGGAAAAGATAACCGAATTCCATTACTGAAGGAAGTTTTTGAGGCCTTTCCTAACACTCCTATTAACATCGATATCAAAGTCAACAACAATTTGCTGATTAAGAAGGTACCTAAGGCATTGCCTACTCTGTGTGCTGCACCTTATTTAGTTTAGTATTCACAAACTAAATAAGGCTAGAGTAGGTGTCTGCATAGACTGATAATGTTCAAGGAAATGTGATACTTTGGGGATCAGTATTGTTTTAAATGCCGCCCTGGTAGCTGAGATCACTGTCAGAAAGCCTATTTTCAGAGTGACTTCTCATGTCTCAGTCACAGATAAAAGTGAGCTCATATGAGCCAACTGTTCTGGCATTTATATGATTAACTTGTTCTAGTTTAACTTGTTTCATTTGTACTTTGTGTATGTTAAATTACTAAACAGTTGTGTTCTACTAGATAAGCCATATAATGGTAAAAAAGTAATTTCCTCTTATATTTTTAAAAAACCATCTGAATTAATATATCAGTCCTTCCAAAATTTTATACTATGCACCGGCAGGTAGTCAACTGTAATCCATTTTTTAAGTGAAGTCATGTAGATGGATTTACAAATAGGCACATGCATAAAATTTTGAATTTTCACATGTAGGTTTCAGAGTTGGTGAAGGAATACAGACGAGAACACATAACAGTGTGGGGTAATGCCAATTATGAAATTGTAGAAAAGTGCTACAAAGAGGTAAGCTTCAAAAATGATACAGAACGATCTATCTTTGTTGTTGTTGTAGAGATCTATAAATGTTAAGTAATTACAGTAGTAATTTTTAAAATATCTTATTTCATAGCCTTGATACAAAGTCAGATGGTACTGGATGGAAGCAACTAACTACAAGTTTACTACTAGAGATAATAAATATATAGATAATGGATTTAATACAGATAACCGACCTTGCAATTTAAGTTCAATATAATTTGACTGGCTCACAGAATTATTATCTCCACATGATAATATTTACCAACATTTTATTACATTTTATTATGTATATTGTAAAAGAAAGTATGATTTCTTTCTTTTAATGTCTGTTTTATGTTGGGTAATCAAAAATTTTTGTGTGTAATTTCGAATTAAGGAAAGTATCTAGTCCTTCGACTCTATAGCTCAAGTTTTTCTTTACCATAACTCCCAAACAGAATTAATCAAATTAAGTAGAATCGTGATTATGAGGTAGTATGTAAAAGTAGGGCCATCCACTCACTGAAATTTTTCTGTTTGAAGAAAATGTATCTATAAAAAATTAATTTGATATATTCTAAAATGGTATGCTCAACCTCTATAAACAGACTTAACTATGTAGTCAGCTAAGAGTATTTGAAATTCAGAGTTTTAAAAAATCTGAAACAATGAAGACTCTTTCAGAATACAAGTGATAGTGCAGAAGGAATATCGTGACTCAAGTAGCAACTCTAAAATATAAAGAATTCTTTTGGGAAGGGCTTCCTTCCTAGAAAAGAAGGCTAAAACAGATCCAAGATCAGCACCGTTACAATTAAGAGTACAATTAAAAGTGATGAGGTCCTGGGGGAGGGTATAGCTCAAGTGGTAGAGTGCATGCTTAGTGTGTACAAGGTCCTAGGTTCAATCCCCAGTACCTCCTCTAAAACTAAGTAAAGAGATAAACCTAATTACCTCCCTCCCCTAAGAAAAATAAATACATTTAAAAAAAAAATAATGAGGTCCTTATTAAGGCAAGTAAGTTTTATTTATGTGCAACAGGCTCTGTGAGATCCCGAGGTATCTGTGTACAAAAGGAGAGAGCAGAATAATCAATGGACTGAGTGGCTTCAGAACCCCAAGAATTTAAGACTTCCATAACTAATTGATACTATTTTCACACGCCATTAAAAGGGAGATCATATATTGGAAGCTTCACAACCTGCTGATCTTTTTACATCATTCAGTTTTTTTTCCCCAAATTAAAAAAATAATGATAATAGCAAATACTACGGAAGATGAAGAGGAACTGGATCTCTCCCACATTGCTGGTGGGAATGGAGAATAGTGCAGCCACTCTCTCAATTAGTTGGATAGTTCCCTACGAAATTGAACATACACTTACCATGTTAACCAGCGGTCTTCCTTTTGGGCGTTTATTTAAGAAAAATGAAAACTATGTACAGAAAAACCTGTACCTGAATGTTTATAGCAGCTTTATTCATAATACCAGAATACTGGAAGTGACCCAGATGCCCTCCAGTGGTACATTGCTGAACAAACTGATACATCCATACGATGCAATACTGTTCTGCGATAAAAGGGAATCAACTGTTGATAACTGCAATAGCCTGATGGTCCTTGAAGACATTTTGCTTAGTGAAAAGAATTAACCTCAAATGGCTATATGATTCCATGTATATAACATCCTCATAACTATAGACATGAAGAGCAGATTACTGGCTTCCAGGTGACAGGGACTGGGTGTGGGATAGAGAGTGGATGCAAATACAAAAGAGATAGCAGGAGGGCGTTTTGGTTTGGTGATGGACAGTTCTGTAGCCTTTACACAAATCTATACATGGGTTAGAATTGCACTGAACTCTACACATGCACAGATAGATGCAGGTTTTAAAAATGGTGAAAACTGAGTAAGGTCTACAGTCTAATTAACAGTAATACAGTGTCAGTTTCTGGTTTGATACGTCTGGTTCCATCACATGTCACCATTTGGGGCAGCTGGTTAAGGGTGTACAGGACTCTATTTTTACAACCTCCTGTGAATCTATAATTATTTCAAAATAAAAAGTTCACTTTTGGCCCAGAATCACAGAAGTTTCCCCTTGATTCACATATTTTTCTAGAAGCCTCTGGCTTTCTATCATTTTAGAATTTAAAAACTCCAAAATTTTCAGCAGGAATTTTCAAACACCATGCTAAGAATGTCTCAATAATAATTGTCACTCATATTAAGAACATGCTGTGTAATTGTCATACAGCTTTTACAATTCTCAAAGTATGATTTATAATAGCTTCACATTAGCCCTTTAGTTCCCAGATGCTAGAGACTTAAAATATAAAAATAAAGGACCGCAGGGGACACAGAAGTGATGGGAAAACATGTGGCACTTTCTCACATTTAGTGACTTTTTATTCACTCATACTTAATGCAGTGGTTCTTAACCTTGACTGCATGTTGGAATTACCTGAATAATTTCAAAGAATACTAGTGCCTGGGTCCCATCCTGGATATTCTAATTTAAAAGATATGAGGGTATTGTTTTCCATAGTGGCTGCACCAATTTGCATTGCCATCAACAGTGTACAAGGGTTCCCTTTTCTCCACATCCTTGCCAACATTTGTTATTTGTGTTCTTTTTGATGACGGCCATTCTGACAGGTGTGAGATGATGTCTCATTGTGATTTTGATTTGCATTTCCCTGATATTAGTGATACTGAGCAACTTTTCACATTCCTCTTGCCATCTGCATTTCCTCTTTTGGAAAAGCGTCTATTCAATTCTTCTGCCCATATTTTAAATGGGTTGGTTGGTTGTTTCCTTTTTAATTGAAGTTCAGTTTATTTAAAATGTTGTATTAGTTTCTGGTGTACAGCATGGATGGACTTGGAGGGCATTGTGCTAAGTGAAATAAATCAGACAGAGAAAGACAGATACTGTAAGGTATCACTTATATGTGGGATCTAAAAAAATACACAAACTAGTGAATATAACAG